AAGCAAGATTGACTACGACACTGGTGTTGACACTACCAGAGGGTACAAATGGATTTGTGGTATATTGTGATGCTTCAAGAATAGGGCTTGGGTGTGTATTAATACAACATGGTAAGGTGATAGCTTATGCTTCTAGGCAACTCAAGAATCGTGAAAAGAACTATCCAACACATGATTTAGAACTTGAATCGGTGGTATTTTCATTGAAAATTTGGCGCCATTGTTTATATGGGGTCCATGTGGATATATTCACGGACCATAAGAGCCTTCAATATATTTTCAAACAGAAGGAATTGAACTTGAGGCAGAGAAGATGGCTTGAATTACTCAAGGATTACGACATTGATATTTTATATCATCCGAGAAAGGCAAATGTTGTGGCAGATGCTCTTAGCCGGAAATCTATGGGTAGTTTAGCATACTTGGAGGCATATTAAAGGCCATAGGCCAAGGAAGTTCATCGATTGGCTAGTTTGGGAGTTCGTCTTGCGGACTCTACTGAAGGAGGTGTGATTGTGCAAAATAGGGCTAAATGATCACTTGTTGTGGAAGTAAAGGAGAAGCAATACAACGATCCATTGTTGGCACAACTGAAAGAGGGGATTTATAAACATAAGATCATGGCCTTCTCTCTTTGCATGGATGACGGTACACTAAGGTACCAAGGATGACTATATGTTCCAAACGTGGATGGTCTCCGAGAAAGAATTCTGACCGAAGCTCACACTTCTAGGTATTTTGTGCACCCGGGTTCTACAAAAATGTATCATGATCTTAAGGAAGTCTATTGGTGGAATAATATGAAGAGGAATGTAGCGGACTTTGTGGCGAGGTATCCAAATTGTCATCAAGTGAAGGCCGAACACCAAAGGCTCGGTGGGTTGGCACAGAACATAGAAATTCCAATTTGGAAGTAGGAAATAATTAATATGGACTTTGTGGTAGGATTACCTCGTATTAAGTTTGACTCAATCTGGGTTATTGTGGATCAACTCACGAAATCAACACACTTCTTGCAGGTTAAGGCTACTGATACAGCGGAACAATATGCTCAGTTGTATATCAAAGAAATAGTCAGGTTGCATGGCACTCCAGGTTCTATCATTTCTGATCGGGGGGCACAGTTCACAGCTAATTTTTGGAAGAAGTTTCAGCAAGGTTTGGGTACTCAGGTGAATCTTAGTACAACCTTTCACCCGCAGACTGATGGGCAGGCATAGCGGACTATTCAGACGCTTGAGGATATGTTGCACGCTTGTGTTCTAGAATTCAAAGGTAGATGGGATGATCATTTACCACTCATCGAATTTGCCTACAATAATAGCTATCATGCTAGTATTCAGATGGCACCGTTCGAGGTTTTATATGACAGGAGATATAGATCTCCTATTGGGTGATTTGAAATTGTTGAAGCAGAGTTGATAGGGCCATACCTCGTGCATCAGGCCATGGAAAAAGTTAAAATCATTAAGGAGAAGTTGGAGACTGCTCAGAGTCATCAGAAGTCTTATTCAGATGTTCGTCGTAGGGATTTGGAGTTCAAAGAAGATGATTGGGTATTCTTGAAGGTTTCTCCCATGAACGGTGTAATGCGATTTGGTAAGAAAGGTAAATTGAGTCTGAGGTATATCGAACGTACAGAATCATTTAGAGGATCGGTGATGTGGCGTACAAGCTTGAGCTACCACTTGAGATGTCATTAGTGCACCCGGTATTTCACGTGTCTATGTTGAAGAAAGTATTTGGAGACCTGACACTCATTCTTCCGGTTGAGACTATTGAGTTTAATGAGAAATTGACTTATGAAGAGATTTCAGTTTCTATTATTGATCGGCAAGTCCGAAAGTTGAGAAATAAAGAAATTGCATCCGTGAAAGTGTTATGGCGAAACCAGCAGATGGAAGAGGCCACCTGGAGGCCGAGGAAGAAATGAAGAAGAAGTATCCTTATTTGTTTGAATAACCATGTATTTATAAGTGGTGCTCTATGAAAATGCGAAGAGTTACTTTCTATGAATTATGTATCATTTGTACTGTTGATGTTAAGGGTATTCCTTTCCTGGTAATATGTTACTTATGAGGCCACGGTTGGAGTTGCTTTTATGTTATATTGCGTCAGTAGAATATGTATATGCTGTTAGGATTGGTTTCTGGGATTCTCTGGCAGGTGGATAGCCCCAGTTACAAGGGAGACTCTGGCAAATCTTTTGGAAATTTAGGAAATTAGCCAAATTTTGAAACTACTGGTGTGTGTGAATTAACAGTTTGGAAACATTCGATGCTAATAACAGATTTTGATCCTCATTCGAGTATGAATGATCCTAAGTGGGGGAGAATGTAAAGCCCCGTAAAATTTCGCAAAGGAATTTAAAGTTTCGTGGTGCCGAAGTAGGCTTATGTGTTTGAGTATTGTACCGCAGCTCAGATTTTTTAGGTTGAACAATGCACTGGGGAGTAAAGAAAATATTTAGGCAGAAAAAATATATTTCTGCCGCCGACTATGCGGCCGCAGAATTACTCTGCGGACTGCATAATGGCCGCTGAGTGAGGCAGAAATGGGCAGGTTTGGATGTCATTCTACGGTTGACTATGCGATCGTAGAACTATTATGCTGTTCAATATGCAACCGCAGAACAGGTATGCGGGCCGCATAGTGACCGCAAACCCAGGCAGAGTTTTCCTAGTTCCGGAGGCCAATTATGCGGCCTATTCTGCTGACCGCAGAACTGTGTCGGGGGAAGATTTTTTTTCTAATTTTTGACTCAATCCTATTTTGATATATTGAGGTAAAGGGTCTCTTTTGAAGTAAAAATCTGTTATTTTAGAGAGAAGTGAGAGTGTTTTAGAGAGAGAGAGAGAGAGAGAGAGAGAGAGAGAGAGAGAGAGAGAGAGAGAGAGAGAGAGAGAGAGAGAGAGAGAGAGAGAGAGAGAGAGAGGAAACCCTAGGCTAATTTTTCATCAATTTTTGCTCAAGATTTGGGGAAATTCATAAGAAAAACTCACAAGGTCTTCATCCTAGAGGTAAGATTCTACACCCTAACCCTTCATTTCGAAAGTTAACTAGAAATGGGTAATTAGTAAGATAATTCTTGGGGTATGAGAGTTGGTTAATTTGCATGCATGTGTTATCAAGGGGTGTAGGATGATTGTTTAGCTAAAAATGGTAAAGAATGGATTGTGGGATGATGGAATCCTCCATAAAAGGGCCTTGAAACCTTAATGCACACCTAGTATGTGATAAAATGCTCAAACGAGTTAGAACCATGATCATCTTCCTAATTTTTGTTCAATTTGTTACATTTATAAAATAGGTCAAAGTTGCTAAGATTTTCGAAACATCTTAGAGTTTAAGGAAGCTCAAGTGAGGTATGATGGCTAAACTCTTCTCTTAGAATTGAATCTCAAGATATTCATGTAATTTATATAAGTCCCGAGTGGTTCATTATAAAATTGGCTTTTCCGAATAAGTTTGTGTTGAAAGCTATATGTTCAATATGTATAGCAAATGCTATTATCATGTCATGTTATCATTTGAGAATGGGTTCAAAGTATGGATTGTGCATTAATAATGTTTCGACTTCAAGTTAAGTTCAAACGAAGGCTACTATGCTAAATTTTGTGAAAAATCTCTTTGTACCTAAGATTCTTAATTGCTCACATGTGTACTTCAAATCCCGAATTGAATTGTTGTTGTTGTTGTTGTTGATGATGATGATGATGTTTGAAAGTAAAAAGGTGAGCATGAAATACTAAATACGGCCGACGTGCCAAGAATAATTTTTATAATTATTGCCACTAGTACCAATGAAATTAAAAGATGGGAAAGAAGTATGAAATGAGATGATTGGTATAAAAAGGTTGATGTATTGAATGAGATGGCCTAGCCGATCGGGCTGTGATCGGACGCCATGCCGCACATATGATGGTGATTGTGCTGGAAATTATGATTTTGGTTGATGACTTAAAATGAGATAGCCTAGCCGATTGGGTCGTGATCGGACTCTGTGCTAAAAGTATGGTAGTATTGGTGTTATGAATATTGGTATCGTGAACCGTGGCATATTGGTACTAAAGACCTCCCAACTTAAGATATGGAAATTTATTTGAACATTGTTTTGATCCTAATTTGAGGTTTGATGTTGTTTGAGGCTTCCACTGATATTATGATTGTTCTTACTTGTATTATTAATTATTCTATTGAGAGTGTGTTGTTTCATTAATACTAGTACTATTTCACATGTACTAACATCTCGTTTGTTGGGGGCGCTGCATCTTCAATGGATGTAGGTGGTTCCACAACAAGAGATACTGATCAGTGATAGCGGTACACCCTCTTCCCCAGCAGACTTGGTGAGCCCCACTTTATTTCATGGTCATGTATCTTTTGTTCCTTGTGTATTGTATTTGAGGTATAGTCAGGGCCTTGTTGCCGGTATTATCATAATACTCTTATGTATCTATTAGAGGCTCTGTAGACATAGTGTGAGTTATATATTGGTGCTGGAAAAGTCAAATTAGTTATGTTGTGCTTGGATTACTTGTTCCACTACAGACTATGAAAAACGTATGTGAAAGTTGAGACTTTAAAATGATGAAACTATTGGTAATAAATTGGTATTGTAGACATGATTACCTTATTGTCTAATTAACAAAAATATGTATTCTCTTTATTCAAGGATGAGTTTGGGTAGAAGGAATCTAATAGGCTTGCTCGGTCGGGTTCACTCGATTGAGCGCTGGTCGCGCTCCCCGAGTTCGGGGCGTTACACAGACATCTCCATAGAACCTTCCTTGGTAATTTTATCATAAGCCTTTTCTAAATCGATGGACACCATATGCAGGTCCCTCTTCCTTTCTCGATACTGCTCCACCAACCTCCTTACCATATGAATGGTTTCTGTGGTGGAATGCCCCGATACGAAACCGAACTGATTCTCCGAAATAGACACACTCCTCCTCACCCTCCTCTCCACCACCCTCTCCCATATTTCATAGTGTGTCTCATAATATCCTTGTAGGTGTTACAATTTGGATATCACCCCTGTACTTGTACAACGGGACCATAAAGCTCCACCTCCATTCTTTGGGCTTCTTCTTAGTCCTAAAAATGATATTAAATAGTCCAGTAAGCCTCTCCAAGCCTACCCGTCCTACGGCCTTCCATAATTCTACCGATATCTCGTTTGGCCTAGTCACTCTGCCTCTACTCATCTTCCGCATTACCTCATTAACTTCCTCAACCTTAATACGCCTACAAAACCTAAAATCACGCTGGTTCTCTGATTTCTCCAACTCGCCTAGAACAATGTTCTTGTCCTCATCCTCGTTCAAGAGTTTGTGGAAGTATGACTGCCACATGCGCCTAATGCATGCCTCTTCCACCAATACTTTACTATCCTCGTCTTTGATGCACCTCACTTGGTCCAGGTCCCGAGCCTTCTTTTCTCGAACTGTATCTAACCTGAACAGTCTCTTGTCATCGCCTCTACCCCCAAGTTCCGCATGCAGGCATTCAAATGCTGCGGTCTTAGCCGCCGTGACCGCTAACTTTGCCTCTTTCTTAGCCTTCTTGTAACACACCCTAAGCGTCTTCCCCTCCTCCTTGTCGACGTTCTCCACTAGTTTCATATACGCCGCTTTCGTGGCTTCTACTTTACCTTGGGCCTTTTCATTCCACCACCAGTTACTGTTGTGGCCCCTGGAGAAACCCCTCGTGATCCCTAACACCGCTCTAGCAGCTTCCCTAATGCAGTTTGCTGTCGAGGTCCACATACTACTCTCGTTCCCACAACTCCTCCGAGCCCCCATATCTAACAACTTCTCCCCCAATTTCTGAGCTTTGTCCTCAGTCAAGCCTCTCCACTTAATCTTAGGTTGACCAAATACCGCTCTCGTCCTTTTCTCCCTCTTAATCTACAAGTCCATAACCAAGAGCCTATATGTTGGGTCGAAAATCACTCACTCATAACCTTGCAATCAGTAGTTTTTACATTCGGTGTTTCCATTTATTAATTTGCTGTAGATACCACGTGCGTATAAGTTTTTCTTTCAAAAATTAGCTAAATTTACAATGCCTAAAAAAAGTAAAGAAAAGAAAATTTGGTACACTGATGGTGCTGAAGTTAACGGTCACTCAACCGACAAAACCGCCAANCGCATCGATTTTCCCCTCCAAAATCTAAAATCTTCTATCAATCTCCCTTCAATCATAAATTAAATATACTCTAATTTTATCAGGTAATTAGCTTTTCTTTTTAATTTTCTGCTCTTTCCTTTTCTTGGGTAGCTACAAGTATTCAAAAATGAGTTAATTAATACGCAGTATGAAAACAAGTAGCAGCTTTTTTTTTTTTTTTTTTTTTTTTTTTTTTTTTTTTTTTTTTTTTTACATAACATGCAAAACCGCAAAAAGAAAGGTTAGAGAAAGGGTATGATGAAACACAAGTCTATTTGTGGATTTCAATTAAGAGTGAAAGATTAATCATTTTTGTCTTGTAAGTTTTATTTGCCTTTTTTTGTTGTTGATAAACAGGCAATTAATTAAGGGTTGGAAAAAGGGGTTGAAATTGAAGGAGATCAATAAAATGTTCAAAAGAATGAAAGAAGAGGAAAGAATAGAAAAGATCATTCGTGGTCTTTTAAGGCTTCCAGACAACAAGAGATGTATCAACTGCAACAGTTTGGTACGTAACCCTTTCCAAATTGTTTCTATACACACACACTTACCATTAATTTAATTTGTCACGTCAGTTCATGCCCAATATATATTTTCTTTGTTTTTTGTTTCTTCTATTACTAAACTAATGTAGAACTAGTTCACATTAGAATTAGGCACAATGAAAGAAAACTATGTTTAGAATTAGTCATGTTGGCACACCGACTTTAGGTCGATCGTTTTCTAGGATTCTTTTTGTCACGTCAAAGTTTTATATGCCAGTAAAAAAAATATAGAGAATTTCTAGTATTGAGTCCAGTATATAGTTAGCCAAGCAAATGTTTGTTAATTTGTCAATTCGTCTTAGACGTATAGAAGCATAGCAGACAATTCTAATTTGTTTTTGCACATGTAGCAATGAAGTGATCAAGAGTGCACAATGTTACACCTTTCTAATTAATGTCTTGTGTTTTTGCTTCCTCTTAGCAGGGGCCACAATATATCTGCACAAATTTCTGGACATTTGTCTGCACACGTTGCAGCGGAGTGCAGTAAATATCTCATTAATGGCTAAGTTATTTTCAGATTTATGGATTTGATTATTCATTTTTTGTTCAAACAATTTCAGCCGCGAGTTTACACATAGGGTAAAATCCGTGTCAATGGCTAGATTTAATGAAGAAGAAGTTAGTGCTTTGGAAGCTGGGGGTAATGAGGTACACATGCACATTTTGCCAGTTAAACGTAACATGCACATTTTGCTTGTAAATCATCCTCTTATAAGAGGCTAATTCGCTTGTCTTTATTTTAGCGAGCAAAGGAAATCTACTTCAAAACGTGGGATACATATCGTAATTCATATCCAGATTCCAGGTAATATTTTCTTATAGTAAGTAACTCAATGACAAGAAAAGTATATTTTCGAAGATATGGCCCAATATTAATATTGTTTTTACGTTACAGTAATCTTCATAGACTTCGGGATTTTATAAAGCATGTTTATGTGGACCGGAAATATACAGGTGAGAGGGGCCACGACAAACTTCCCGCAGTGAAAACGGTAAGTATATATCCAATTGTGGATGTAGCAGGTTCAGCTAAAACATTTCATATTTCTGCTAGCAGTTGTTAATGTGCTAGAGTCAATTTAACTGAGTTAATATATTGAAAGTAGCTGATAAGCATTAAATGCTGAAAAACACTTTTACGTGCTGATGCTGATTTTGTAAATAAGCAGTCACGTGTTTAGGTAGAAGTGTTAGAGGCTGATAAAAATAGTTGTCCTTCCGTTTGGCACCACACTTTTTGATATATGTCCTTATGTTATGCCTTCCACAGAGTATAAAAGATGACTATAAGGAAAGGTATATAGCTGGAGATGCTGATAGATGTTCATTTGAAAATTTTAGTCCAAGAAAAAGAAGCGATGACTTGAACATAAGATCATATTCCATGGAAGAAAGAAGAAGTCCACGTAATTACAACCAAGTTGGTAAGAGATCTAGTAGGGAGAGGAGCCTACCGACTCGCTTTGAAATAGTTGATGACAGGTTCCGAGATGAAGGAAGTGGTGATGTTAAACGATATCAATATCATATATTCTCAAAATCAGAATCCAGGCGTAGAAGTAGGTCGCCTGTTTCACTAAACACAGAGGAGGTTTCTAGTCCCCCCAGGATACGTTCAATCAATGAAATCTTGGGTGACAAAGTTATAGCTCTCAAGGTTGGTGAGTCTCCTAAATCATGTGGCAAAGTTAGTGAAAGCTCTGCTGAGGATGAGGTGAGATTTGTGATTATTTCTAATTAATTATGTTTTTACAAAAAAATATCCCGTTTTTATATTTTGGAACTTTTAATTTTAAACTTCCCATCTTATCTTAGTGAAACCATGGCATAACGTAGAAAAATGAAATCGTCTATTGTTGGTAGAAAAATGATACTATTACCTAATGCTATGTCCTAGTAATCTTGTTGTACATTTGATTTCTCATTATATAATGAAAGCATGGCATAACGTAGACGACTGTGAAGTACTAATGCTGCATTTAATGCATACGACAAATTAAGTTCTAGATGTAGTGTTAGGATCGAGAAACCGGGAGTGCGAAATTTAATCAAACAATATTATAATGATAATAACAAAGACAATGCAAGTTGATATTAACGGTAATTAAAGAAGATAAAGAAGACATAAATTCAACATGGTTCGGTCAAGGTGACCTACGTCCACAAGCGGAGAGAAGCAATTTCACTATACCAATAAGAGTACATAAGAGAGTACAAAATTAGAGTAAATACTCTAATTACCAAATACCCCTAGAGAATAACCTCACGAGATCACTCCAAAGAAAGGGTTCACACAAGTATTTTCCAACACTCACTCTCTTACAAAATACTCTATAATGAAATAAAGGAGGAGAAAGAAAGACAAGAGTGAAAAGCTCTTGAATTGGTGCGTTTTCAAATGAGGAGAAACTCCTCTATTTATAGCAAGAAATCCTTGGCCTAATAATGGATATTATGTCATGGAAAATGTCATGATCTACAAATTTGTTATAATGGATATTATGTCATGGCAAATGTCATAAAAATTTGGCCGTATTACAAATCTCCACATTGGCCTAATTTCGGCTTATATATAGTAAATTTGCTCCACCTTCTCCGCAAAAACCCCAATGGGCAAAATCATTCTTCATAAATGCCAATCAAGTTCACGCAAAGCTTGAACTTGGACACTGGAAGAGGTTTTGTGAACATGTTAGCAGAATTGTCTTTAGTGTTGATCTTCTGAATAGAGACTTTTCTTTTAGCGATGGTTTCTCGGATGAAATGATACTTTATATCAATGTGCTTCGTCCTCTCATGATACATTTTATCTTTAGTCAAGTGAATAGCACTTTGACTATCACAGAAAATGGTAATACCACTTTTGTGTAAACTGAGTTCCGCAAATAGACCCTTCAACCATAAAGCTTCTTTGATTGCCTCGGTCACTGCCATATATTCTGCTTCGGTAGTAGATAAAGTTACTACATGTTGTAATGTAGCTTTGCAACTAATAGCGCAACCACCGATGCAAAATACATAGGCTGTCAGTGATCTTCTTTTGTCAGGATCACCTGCATAATCTGAGTCTACAAAACCAACCAAAGTGTTAGTAGTTCTCCCAAACTCCAAACATGTGTTTGAAGTACCTCGCAAGTATCTAAGAATTCATTTCACAGCATGCCAATGTACTTTACCAGGGCAAGCCATATACCAGCTTACCACGCTCACTGCATGAGAAATGTCTGGACGTGTACAAATCATTGCATACATAATACTGCTGACTCCACTGGAATAAGGAACCTGTGCCATGTACCTCTCTTCTTCCTCTGACTGCGGGGACTGAGAAGCTGATAACTTAAAATTAGCAGCAAGAAGGATACTAACTGGTTTAGCATCTTTCATGCCAAACCTCTCCAAGACTTTCTCCAAGTACTTCT